TTTACAACCTTTCGACAAGCAAAATCAGTGGAGAAGCCAGATTCACTTAACAACCCTGTTACTAACTTAGCAGCTGCAGTGATTCACTTAACAACTGTGGAAAGAAAGGTCATAAAATGAGATAAACCCACTTAACAACAGAAATTTTGGGCTCAATTGTAATCGTAAGTTGAGGACTATCTGTATATTCAGTGTTAGTCTTTAATGGATTCATTCCTATGATGGGAAGATCACTCTGTAATTCTGCTAGCATGAGACAATCAATTAAGTTCAGACTCTGGTTGACAATGTGTACAGCAATTTCACATATCTTTAATATTCAGGAATGAGATAGATGTCTGCCAAAATATATAGAAGTTTGGCAAGATAATACCAAACATGCTTTTGTATCAGTAAGGTATAGCTAGATATTGTTAGTGGAAAAATTCCTTGGAGCATGTCATAATAATGGCTAGCTTATCATGGTTTCCTCATTACCATACCTTGTTTCACTAAATATACAGCAAGCAAGTGTATCTGTTTCCCTCTGTCAGAGATTGAAGAAAGTGTAAAAATATATTTTTGATGTTATTTAGTACCTAGTATGTTTCCTGTATGATATAAATGAATAAATAATTGTCATTTTTAGTCCCAGAATCTCTTCTTGGTTTACAGTGAATTAATTAGGACACTGGATAGAATTGGGGGGGGGGGGAACTAATACATATCATCCACTGGCTGGTATGTAGCAAATATCTTTGTAGCTTTGGTGAAAATGATGATGATGATGATGACAATGACAACAACAATAATAACAACAACAACAACAACAACAATACCTGGCTATGGCTAAAAGCAGGAAAATTGAAGAAAGAGACTGAGGGACTAATTTTGGCTGCACAAGACCAAGCTTTAAGGACAAATGCATACAAAGTCAAAATTGAGAAGACAGCAACAGACAGTAAGTGCCCCTATGCAAAAAAGCTGAAGAAACAGTGGACCACTTGGTAAGCTGCTGTAAGAATATCGCACAGACTGATTACAAGCAGCAGCATGACCAAGTAGCAACAATGGTGCATTGGAAGATCTGCAAGAAATATTATTTGCTGCAAGCAAGAACTGGTGGGATCATAAAATAGAGGAAGTCATAGAAAATGATAACATTAAATTGCTCTGGGACTTTAGAATTTAAGCAGACAAGCACCTGCCACATAACACCCCGGACTTAACAATTGTTGATAAGAAAGACAAAAAAAGTCTGGATAGTGGATGTGGCAGTACCTGGAGACAGCAAAATAGAAAAGAAAGAACTGGAGAAGATAACAATCAAAGATAACGACTGTGGCAAAGGCAAGCAAGGGTAGTACCAATAGTAATAGGTGCCTTAGGTGCAATCCCAAAAGAACTGGAGTACCACTTGAACACCACTGGCATTGACAAATTCGCCATTAGTCAATTGCAAAAGGTGGCCTTACTGGGAACTGCTTCCATCCTGAAACAATATTTATAATACCATCAAACATCTATCCCAGCCTATCCCAGATCCTTGGTTAGGACTTGATAGATAGACAAAAATGTCAAATCCAGTCTGAACATCTGGCTGACTGTGCAATGATTAACGATGATGATGATGATGATGATGATGGAAGAGATCTTGGAGATCTTCTAGTCCAACCCCCTGCTCAGGCAAGAAACCCTATACTATTTCAGACAAATGGCAGACACATTTGTCCCAGGTGTTGCCAAATATTACTGTTCACTGATAGATTTGAAACAAAAACTGAGTTATTCATAATCCATTGCTTTGTGGTTTATGGAAAAGTGACATTTCTGTCGTTGTCAACTGGAAGACCAAAAGAAAGAAGGGTTGTAAACTAAGGTGACCAACTTTTTTACAATGAAAAGGAGGACACAAATTGAAGAAAAAAAATCATAAATAAAAGAAACATTTTATTCATTGCAATAATACAGAATACACTATAATATGATAAATGCATAATAAAAAACATTTGCAACAATAACATTTTATATTGTAATTATGCTTACATGCCATGCCCCTTCCTGCAGCCGCCCCGCCAGTACTGCTGCCCCGCCGTGTAGAGCGGACCCCGCGGTTCCCAAAGCACCAGCTGCGCCAGCTCCGGCCCTGGGGCGCAGCCCGCCATCAACACACCTCGCTTGCAGCCGCCCCGCCAGCACCACCGCCCACCCTGCACAGCCCTGTGTAGAGCAGGCCCCGCAGCTCCCACAGCACAGGGGGCAGCCAGCCACCACTGCCCCTCACACCCCCACCCGCAGCAGCCCCACTGCCCCTGCCTCTTGCGCCTGCAGCCATTATTGCCCTAGCAGGGCCAAAGATCAAGAGAAAGTTACCGTGGCGTCGCCGCTCCAGTCTCCTCCAGGTATCTTCGGGTCTAACTAGGAGATGGTGTAGTTGGGTAGCAGGGAGGGGTGCAAAGTTCCTGCCAATTCGCCTTCGCTGCAGACAACTTACATGTGCAAAGTTTGCCGGCCGGGTGTTTTGGCGCGCTCAGCAGCAATTCTTATTGGCTTTCGAAAGCCAATAGGGGGAGTAGCTCATCCAAAGGTTGAAAAAAAAAACATCAAAAAAAGGTGCTGGAACTCTGTTCTATGAGAAAAAAAAAGCCCTGCAGATTAGTCTTCAAATATTGAAAAGGAGGACACGTAGGAGGACACTTTTCGAGGGAGGACAGAACTCACAAAAGGAGGACTGTCCTCCCTAAAGGAGGACGGTTGGTAACCTTATGTAAACAGAGGCTAATCTCACATTCTATGCTATGCCATAATATGATTTATAAACCATGGTTTATATCTAACATTATGGATGAATTGACACTATTTGTCTGTACATCATGTTTAAGACAAGTTACAGTATGTGTAAAATCATATGTGTCCCTAGCTTCAGTAAAACAAGAAAATTATAGCTATTGAGTTTGCTTTTTTAGGATACTAACATTGACTTATATTTCCTGTCATCAGGATACATATTTAGCTAGGATCCACTAAACTGTTTCTTAAAGTTCAAAAGTACTACTGCTTACACATGTTCTGTAATATAAAAACTTGAAATCCCGTTGAATGGGGATTTGCAAGCACTACAACCTGCCTTATTCAACACTTATTCATCTGATTATGCAAAATCCCATGTTTCATCTCCAACTATGTTTTAATTTGGATTAATATCTGATCAGTAGCAGTAGTCAAAGCACATCTGGTGCAGCTGTACAATGTTGAATGTTGCCTATAGTTAATCCAACTTTGCAGAGCTTGGGGAATGAAATGATGATGATGATGATAAAAAAGGAGGAGGAGTTGGAGTTCACTGCTGGATTGATTATTGATTAAATAATTATCAATTATTAATTGATGGTTGATTACCCCCTCAAATTTGCATCTAAGAAACAGGATCAGAAAAAGGAAAGGGGGTGAGGTTGTCCTACAGGAATACAAGCTAATTTGAGGGCTAATTCACATGGAGCTCCGTTTCCATCTGTCCTGTTTGTCATTGTTCGCTCCCTAGAGACTAAAATGGACATTCTGAAACTTGAGCTGGCCATGGAGTGTATATCGGAGGTGGTGATCCTTTGAGAGCTGTATGCAACGAAATTTTATTTTAATGTATGCCAATTGGTGTACATTCAAAGTGACAATAAAGTTTTTGTTGTTGTATTTAAGAACATTCCTTTTCTGTCACATTAAAAATGGCAATTTCTTGGTGACCTTCAGAGGGTAGCTATAGTACCATACTCAAAGCTTGTAGGGCTACCAGCAGCTTTGAAGCCTTGGCTGGCCTATTCTTTCTTGTACCTGTTTAATATTTTTCTGATAATGTGAGCTAACAGAAAGTGTTGTAGACCAATAACTCTCTTCTATGAGAAAACTATTAGAAGAATGATGGGAAAACAATGATGGGAAAACCATGTTCATCTGCTTGGAGTACCAGCCAGCACTTGTTTCTGCTTCCTAACAAAATTGAAGAAAAATAATCTTGTGAAAGTATTTATAGGAACCGGCAATCCATTTTTGTCCTTCACTATTATAATCAAGAACACCCAGACATTTTGCCTTTGACAAAAAGAAGGGTGTTTTTTCTTCAGAGTGGAGGGCAGAGAAAACCCAAATATTAAAAGATATGCAGGCTATCTTTTAGACCTAGCTATCTCTTCCCACAAAAAAGCCTACCCTTCATTAAAAAAAAAAACCCATAAGGAACCATCCCTTGAAATCCCATTTTTACTATAAATCACCTCTTTGCTCACTGTGGCTTTTTTGTTGTATCCTGTCACAGAATAGCTCATGTTCTTCCACCATATTGCCTGTCTCTGCTTTAATGGTACCAGGAAAAATGTTATAATATATAAAGCAGAATTTCCTATTATACCATGAAGGAAAAAGAGTAGTGATTTTTTTCCATTACTGTCTCCTGGGGTCTCTTTGCTAGCAATAGACAGAAATTTTGGAAAGCAAGCAAGTAATTCCATAAATAAACATTAGATCTTGTTGAGTTGTATTGAAGGCATCTAAAATGACTTTCTCTGTGTGGGATTCTCCAGCTGTGTTAGATGATAATTTCCATAAATCTACCACTTGCATCGCCCATGAAGGCCATAATCAGAATTATTCAGTGGATACCAGATGGGTGATGGCTGGTCTAGTAAGATCAATAGGGTTGGATTTCACAATGTTGTGTGAGAGAAAGTATCTACCAGGGCCATTATTAGTATTGGGGCGATTTAAGATTACTGAAGTCTGAGAATCTGATTTTATTTCATATATCTAGTTTGAATCAACAGCCTTTTCTGAAGTAAAGTGATAACAAATTTGGGAATAAAAATGGAATGAAAGGTTCCTATCCCATCTTGCACTGCAAGTGGTTGTGGGAATTTCCCATGATTGTTCTGCCATTTGAGCTTCATAGCTATCCTCTCACCTGAGTTCTGAGCCTTATTCTTCCAAATCTGAAAACCTGTGAAAACTTTTTCACTTTTTTTTAAATTCAGGCACACCACCTCTTCATTCTCCAGGCTTGATAAAGTGGGAGTCCGTCATCCTCCATCTTTGCCTTTCATTGGAAATCTGCTATATTTTCGTGAGGTAAGAAATTTTTTGAATGATGGCAATTTGGAGTCTTTGTCCCATCAGTCCATTCCATCCAGTCAGGCAGGAAAGGTATGTTGCAGACCTTGTGAGTTAAGGAATTCCAACTGGTGGGATCTAGGAAGAGATCCTTCTCTGCTGTCACCCCCACCCTATGGAATAGTCTTCCCTTGGAGGTGAGACAGTCCATTCTTTTGGACTTCTGAAAAGGAGTTAAGGCATGGCTCTGTGGCCTCACGTGAAGAGCCCAAGGAAACATGCAGCCCTGGGTCTGGTTAGTCCCTTGAAACCCCTCCCTTCGACTTTTAAGTAATTTTAATCTCTTGTCTCATCTTAAAATTTTAAAAACATTTTTAGGATACACATACACACACAAATACAGATAGACAGTACAGAAATGTGATAATAAATGATTGACTGAATGAATGAATTTAGACATTACTAAAGAAACCCTATTTATCCTGCCTTTTGACCACCTTATAGTTTACATTGATTATATACAGATTGAAAAACCTGCTGGAACTTTAATGAGGCTATTCTAATTTCTGAAATGTAAAGGTCCGTATCTATAATCCATTGTTCCAATGGCTTTTACAGAAAGAGATAATTCAGCAAGATATCTACTTCCCTGTTTTCCCTTTTATTTCTCCTAGCATCAGTGATTTGGTGATGGTGCTTTATATCCATTTTTATTTATGGTTCATTAATCCACACCAAGACACTAACTCTGTGTGCCAAACATACAGCTAAAATAAATGTAACTTGTCCAGGCTAATGTATTACATTTGTTGTGGTTGTGCAGAGTGGCTCAACCTGTGTGAAGATAGATGTACATAAGTTCTATTTAAACTTTAAAATGAATACACCTAGAGATAAGGAATGGGAATATGTACAATATCTCTCCTCAACCCTGCAACCAGCATTAACATTTAAGTAGTATTGCTTAAAACTTCCTCAGCAGTTAATATTACACAAGTGCTAATCAAAACTGCACAAAACAGATGAAGTGGTTTGTTTACATTTAGAATGTCAGCATTTGGAGAAGAAGCTTGCAAATGAGGTAAGCAATACCCTTCTATGCCAAAAGGCTATCCAGTGTTGTCAGTAGGATGACATCTCAGCATTGCAATTCTGAGGGGCCCCAAATTCAACACCACCCCTTAAATCAGAAACACTATCATCTCCTAGTTATTTATTTTAATTATCTTTACAAACAATGGATAATCTCATACAGCCTCAGATACTATAGGTAAACCACTGAGCCCCAGAAATGATTTTGGGAATGCTACCAAATGGATGTTCTTGAAAAGTGAATGGAAGTTGGGGTACCCTGTGCTGGGGGAACATGGTTTGAATTTGTGCTCTGCTTGGTTGCAATGGATGAGTAAAATTATAATATTGTAAAATATTGGCTGTAATAATTTTGACGTCAGCATGTCTTCATAAGCTTTTTTTCCTCCCTCTATAAGCCTTTCCTCCCTCCCTCCCCTTTTATTTTATTAGCCAAGCTGTTGACAGGGTGCGTGCAGCTTCCCTGGGTTGAATTTTAATGGAGACATCACTTTCTTGAGCTTTTCTCAGAGTGGACAGGATATTCTTTGTTTGCTCTGTTTATTCCTGTCTGGCCTATTTGTAACTCCTGGATGCTCTGCCTGAGTGGCCCATTTTGGTTGAATGGAAGATGGGAGCTGATGGGGGCAGGGATGTGGGAGCTTTGTTGAGCTTTTGGTTCTGGCTGGGCTGAGCTATTTTATAGCTGCTGGGAGGATGAGGGGAGTAGGGAAAAGAGAGAGAAGACATTACACATTCTTCATTCCACATTAAACTCCCTTTGATAAGCAAGACAAACAAAACACAGACTAGGACCATGTTGTTGAAATCAAATGCTGGCCTACTTTAAAAACTATATTGTCAGTGCTTATATCTTGGAGAGCAGAAGCTTGTACCAACAGTGTTGGACATTGAAGAAATAAATAGTAAAATGAAGTGGAAGACTTAGTATACAGTGTTTGCAGTCCCACTTTTAATTATCATTTACACAGAGAGTAAAATGTTTGCATATAGTTAAGATTGCTCTTACAAAGACAAATAGAATGGAACTGACTGGAGTATTTTCTAGCCATTTGCCTGATATTTACATTGAAGTTAAAAAAACCCAAAACCTAATGTTTTCTTCCCCTCCCAAATTTGGATACGGCTAAGCTCTAAAGTAGCTTTCTCTGTTGTGACCTCTAAATAGATTCCAGAGCAGAGAATTCTAGAAGCTGTGGTCACAACATGCCCTCTTGGACAGTACTATATTAAAGATTTATTTTGCAAATCGTTTTACTACCATAGAAATTGTATTCATTTCTGATTGCCACATTTTGTTCATACTGTATTCAAATAATTGTTTAAAATGTATATATAAGAAAATAAGAATATGTCTCCGTTCCGCTTATCTTCTCAATCAGATTGGTTTGAAGATGAGTGCTAGTCTACCAGTAGTAATGTAAAATAAATCTTAATTCTTCAGCATTTCTGTATCTTTTAGCAAGGCTCTATTTCTTAAGGCAAGTTCAACTGGTAGTCTGCAAAATAATTTTAATTGGCTAAAAATAATATGAGTTTTGTGAAGTTAAAAATTCCAAAATCCTGGGTGAAAGATAATCTTCAGATTAAGGAGAAATCAGGTAATCCTAAAAGTTGAACTCTGAACATTTTCTCTAAATCATTTATTTCCTGTGAGGTAAAATGCATTTAATTGCCCAGTTAGATTTGTTGTAAGTCTGATTCCATCAAACATTCCACCAGATTTCCTTTGTTTCTGGTCACATGGATTTTACAAGCTGTTGATCACAGTTCTGCACCCACATCCAAAGATTCTGAAAGAGCGTCATGTGTTCTCTTTGCCTCCTACAGTACTTGTGGTCTCTCGCTGCCAGTAATGTCAGATTTAATTGAAAAACAATTCAACTTTCCCTCTGATTTTTGTCATGGTCAAACTTCACAGAGCCCTGTTACCCATCAGGAAGTTAATGCAGTATGTAACAGAAATATCCTTCCAAGGAAGCAGCATGTTGCTCTTTGGAAATGGGAAGCAGGATGACAAGTGTATGCTAATAACACCCAGTGTGGTAATAGCAATGATTTAATTTAGTCATCATTAGGAGGACAATTTACTCTTGCAAAATGGTTTATTAGAACATTTACCACATTGACTCTCATCCATCCTGTGGCCAGAGTATTCCTCAGATGAGCTTTCTGAGTTTTGAAAGCAGATTATAACTCTCACCTGGACTTTTCTCTCTTGTATCTTTAAATGTCTGACGACAACTATAATTAACAAATGCATTCAGATTACAACCCATCCTGCCCCTCCCCCCCAAATTTGAGCTGCAGATTTCATTGGCATAATATTTGGTCTGAGATTTGGACTTCAACTTTTCCATCTTCTGTCTTTGACATCTACTTTGATTACTAGATAAGGTAATCTGAATACCTATATAATCTTTGGTATTATTTTGATTAACTCTAATTCATCTCTCTAACTAACCAAGGGTGCATTTTTCCATACTGATGGACCAAAACTACAAAATCTTCCTTGGCTCATGATAGTCTAAGGGAGACATGGCCCGTAGTAATTGGGATCAGAGCTATCTGCAGATTTTTGTGGTTCCCAGAGCAATATTGACTTCTTATTGACCCAATTTCCTCTTTGCCTCCAGTTGCCAGTAAATCCATTTGTTTGATCTTCACCTTTAGGTCCAATATGCACACTCTCTAAGGAAGGTAAGCAGAGATTACTGTTCCTCTTTGCTCTTATTGATGCCAGTTCCCATGACTTAACATGTAGCAAATCTCATTGATTTTTTCTTTGGATTATGCTGCATCCCCAAGTGTCTTATTTCTAACCCCACTCCACAACAGGGTAGACATGGCACCCTCTATGTGTATGTTTCGGGTTACAGTTCCTATAATTCTTATTTTTTTCAAAATCAGCCAAAGTTAACTGGGCATTGCCACCTGTTGTGATTAGCAGTCTGATCTCTTGCTCAGTAAGGTATAAAAGTACCTTACTGTTGATGTCACCTAGCATGTGAATTTACCAGTGATGACTTTCCACAGCAGCATGATGGGGTATGTTTCTGTGATCTGATCAGTCTAGATTGTCACTATTAAATTCTTAGCCCAGGTAATATTGTAGGAAGAAAAGCTTGGTTCAAGAAAGACAAAGTAGACATGCCATTAGCTATCCATCAACAGTTCAGCCTGAATATGTTGTCTGCCAGCCGGATTTCTGCTAGCTGCAAAACACATTGAATAGCTGTGGGACTCAATCCAACATATTGTTATGTCAACAGGGTTTTATATCACTTCATCGATAACTCCTGTGGCTTTCTACTGCAGAAGGCTCAGTGGCACAGACTGAGGACTGACTGTTGGAGAGATTTGGAAATGATAGAGATGAGAAATGGAATGGAATCTCTTTGAAAAATGCATGATTAACTGCAATCCTAAACAGCAGCATTTGACTGTTTAACCTTTTATTAAGAAGGTCCTGATTAATCCTTTATATATCTTTTGTGTCTACTCATTGAAAGTGAGCATTGCCTTAAAAAAAGCTAGGGTTATTTAAATCAGTTAACTGGAAAAGACTTGTAAGCAAGTGTGATAAAAGAAGTGGTATTGCTAATGTCTCTGGAGATCAGAAAGTGTATGTGTGAAGTTGCCCCAAAATAAGAAAGAATGTTGGGCCAGGAAAGTACATGAACAGAAAATGGTCTAATATCAAAAGTTAATTAATGGTCCTCCAGTGACAAGCTGATTTAGTTGAAGCAGTTCAGCCTATCAAGACAACCTGGCATTAGACAATCTAGTGAAATAGAATGATTGTCACATGATTCCTCAAGAGGTAGAATTATCAGAAGTTAAATCTTACCTTGAACAGTTTCTGTTCCCTTCTTTGTTGTAGAGCAGTGATGGCAAACCTTTTAGAGACCGAGTGCCCAAAAACT